CAGCAATGCTTGGCTCACCATTTTTAGATTTCCTACCTTGTGCTCCATCCCTTACTCTTTTCTTATTGCTGTAAGTTTCTGTCTCCTTTGCTGTCACCCCATGATCCTACATACCCTCTCCTTCAGCTAAGATCCTCGCGTTGTTTTTTCAACCTACAAAGATTTAATACCATAGCAAAACACACGAGGATAGTTCGACTTGCACTGTATCATGAAACATCACTGTAACCTTACTCTGCTATTTGTTCTGCCTTAAACCAAGACCATAAATCAAGTGCCACCTGGGTCAAATTGAGAGGAGAAGGAATGTCTTTACTCTTTATGGGGCAAACAGATATCCTGTATTTCTCAAACACATAATGGTGAGCACATACACTCCTAAGTGAATACAGTCGCATACGAGCTAGAAAGAGGTTTATGTTATGGGGTTATATGAGCATCCTGCATACTTCTGGTGATAAATGTGGTATAAAAATACCAGCAACTGTGGTAAAAAATGTAGCTAAAAGAAATACAACTCAAAGAGGAGGTATGTGCTGCACTTTCTAGGTATTTCTCAAATACAGCTGCCACATCGAACTGAGAGGTTTATGTCATTATATGTCAGCCTGTATCACAGGCCAATGAGTATGTAGCCCCTTAAAATCTACAAAAGACAGGAGACGATAAGCACTTAGTAATAGTTTGGGGATTAAATAAAAGCCTTAGGAGAGATGGTATTTATCCTCTGTTGTTCCACAGTCTCTCAGTTTTGAACTTGCACGCTGTCATTTTGTTACCACTCTAACACTCCCCTGAGTAAGCGAATAGGTGATGCTAACTTCACCACCACATCTAAGGAGGTTTGGGACACCTGTAAGGATAGCGCCAGGCAAGTGTGAAACACAATTACCACTAACTTGCAGCTTTCCAGACTTTACTGTAACGAAAAGAAGCGCCTTCCTCTAAAGTTCGGCGATCTAGCTTGTCCTGTTTGTTCCCTTTAACCCTATCCAGGTTGCCAGAAAACAGAGCCGTAATGCCTGAGAGCCGTAACATATTGGGTCAAGTATCCATTAAATAAGTTGTTCTTCCCTGAAGATGAGTTCCTGGCTGAAACACTATTATTTTTATCCTTCGGCTTTTGGAGTTAATGGATTTATATAACAATTGCACTAATCAACTGTGGCTTTTGTAGAACAAAGTGTATTCAATTACCAGCTCAGAAATAGTGTTCCCAGATGTGCTGGAATATTAAAGATATTCAGACGTAGAGGTTTGTGCTTTACACAGCTGGCTAGTGAATGCAGAGCCTGCTCTGCACGGGAGGGATTGCCGCTGTGCTGCCCTTGGCAGGCTTTAGCCTGACTAACAGCGACACCGGGAGGAACGAGACGATTTAAAAAAAAAAAAAAAAAACCAGCTCTGCTACTCTTTCCTGTGCAAGTCCCTGCCCCAAAATGCAGAAGCGTTTCTCTATTACCTGGAGGAAAGCAATGGGCTGTATGGAAAATCAGTGCTAGTAATGCAGCAGAAGAAAGAGAGACTCTGAACAAGTATGTCCCACAGGCAACGATGTTCAAAACGCAAGGTTAGATGAGACGCTTTGCACTGCAAGAAGCACGTCAGTGGCAGCCAAAGCTTGCAAAAAACTGAATGCAATTAATCCATTAGTTTCTGGACACTTGTCATGTAGCAAATGACAGCATGATCAAGGAATATACATTTCAGAACACCAAACACAAGACATTAAAAGAGTCTTTGCCAAGCCATTGTTTCTATTCAAGAATTTAATTCTATGTGATTGAGACATTTTACCCATATATAAGCCTTAAATTTTTTTGTCCTCTTCCACACAGGGAAATGAGAGTATACACTTGAGCAATACATGTCCAACACATTCGTGCAGCACCGTGGCAAATGATTCAGAAAACAATCAAGGCAAAGAGCTCTCCTGTAATTTACATGTTGGGGTTTTTTTTATATTTTTATATATATTATTTTATATAGGTCCTGTTGAGATTAATGCAGAGACTTAAATGGGTTAGTACAGGCTAACGAGTCTTGAACACAGCAGCTATATGTATAATACCTCATACAGAAACATAGGCAGCTGCCACGAATTAAGAGTTCTGGCGGCCTCATGGTTTTGAACTCATCCAGAAACAACAGACAGAACTGAATGACGGAAATACCACAAAAAAACCCAGCATGGTGAAAGGGTTGGTCTGTTAGTTGTGAAAGATAACAGTGAGCACTTTAGCAGTTGTTTTAAAGACAGCACTGCAGGGCAGCTATTTGCAAAAACCCGAGTTGAGACCCATCATTGGTGAGTAGTATTCCTGGTTCCTGAAAACAATTCCTGTATCAACTCTGCTATTAGAAACCAAAATAGGATGCAATAAAACGGAAGAGTAGCAGCCTGCAGCTCACAGCCTGCAGGTTTGATTTTTCACCATTTATTAAAAAAGCAATTGCTTTGTTTATCGGTGCAATTAGTAGAATTTGCGTTATTTCTTCAGTTAATAATATGGCAAAAAGAAAGGACGTCTCTTACAAGATTGTTCCTATCAAGGTCATTTCACAGTAAGCAATACGGGGCCAACAAATGAATTATTGATCATGTGTCATTTAACACTTGTTATTCACTGGTGTTACACACTCAGTGGTAATTAAGTTTATGCAACAGTGGAAGCCGCTGAAAGAATTTGTATTAAAACTGCAAGTTCCATTATGTTGTACATACCAGTAGCTCCAAGACACATTTTATGAATTCTCAAATTGCTTTCCTTGGGTGAGATAACCCAATGACAGCTAACGCAGTTTACAGTCTCTCGAGTGAACTTTCCAAATTAAAGCAGAAATTGAGAAACAGGGAGCTTACACTATCTTTATACCTCCTTAGTTTAATACCTCATCATAATCATAACTGCTTATAGGCCCCTAAATCCTTGCCAAAACCTATTAAAATCTCTAGCTGTCTTTAAAAGGCACTCTTCCCAGAGCCACTTCACTGGAAGTCACTCACTAGTTCAGGTAGGATTCTTCAACAACAGGTAAGCAAATAAATAGAAGGGTGGAGAGAAGAAAATTGCAAGAATCATCTAAGGAATTCACAGCTGTCTGGAAAGCAGATGAAGCGTTATGATTACCTGCTGTAATGCCATACTGGCAGTCTGGTGACAATGCAGATGACATGATCTTTGGAATAGTAATTCATGTACTTAGCAAAAGTCAGGATGAATTTGTAATCTACTTACAGACAGAGCCCATGTTGGTTTACATACAGCGGATCTAATGGGCTTATTCATAATACGGAGGTAGTTACACAAGTATTTCAAGCTAAGTCCACCTCAAGACTACTCAAAAGTTCATTTTGAAGAGATTGCTTTATATCAAAATGTCAAGTTAACCTTTAAAAAAAAAAAGTTCAGCATGTTTGCTATGGAGTCACCCTCTTGATTACGTTCCTACATTTTTTCCATTCATACTCATTTTCAGATGATTTGAAGACCAGTCAAACATCAGATTCACCATTCCATTTTTGTTCCTTTCCATGGCCTGAGTTCAGATTATCTAAATCCAGATGGCAGAGTTAACCTTACTCCTGTAAATAAGATGACCGGACTTGTGAAATTATTTTATCCAAAAGAGTAAGAAGGCCTTTATTTTCTAGAACAACAGATGTGACATAATGAGGCTATCCAAAAACTACTAATAAAGCAGCAAAAAGAGAAAAGAGGGAAGTTCTTGAACTTGTTTTTCATTGTTGAGAGTTTCATAACACTCAGTGCCACAGAGCAGTGTTAAAGAATACAGCATCTATTGCTGTGCTATTTTCAAAATAATTAAATTTGGAAATTGGATTGTTTCTATCTGCTAATGATTTATTTGCCTGCTTAGGGGATTTCAGTTCTTTCTGTGTGCAAATACACAACATTCTTTCATGAAATCTGTTTCCTAATTAAATGTCCAAGTACACAGAACTACCGGAGAGAGTTCACCTGGCTGTAAGATGCTCAGGAGGAAACAACTTTGAACTTCAGTAGGAAAAAACTTTGGCTGCCTACTGTTTGTTCTCTAGAAAGTGACATTCAAAATACCTTACATAATACAGATGTTAAACTCAAAACACTATGTATTTTAAAACTAGATACTAAACTGAAAGACGATCAACTAGCATTGTGGAATGTTGGACCTTTAACACGATTTGGATGACACTGCTATTGTAACATCTTAGCGCCAAAATAAATCAGAAGCCAAATCAGAGTAGTAGAATCTGACCCCAAAATGAACAGTTCTGCCATGTTCAGAGATTGTGGAAGTTTGCTACATAAGATTGAGAGGAAAAGATATCTCCTCCAAAAACAGTGCATTGAAAACCTCTGACATTGCTCCATGGAAAGGTAGAATCAGCCTAGTGCCTTTTCTCATCCTGGATTCTGAGCAAGGCTCCTAAATGAGGTGCTGACAGCTGTAGTCAGCAAATTCTCTCTGGAAGAGTATTTCCTTCTGGCTGCATCTCCAGTTCTTCAGCTGGTTTGGCTGTAGGGTGTCACAAGGGCTGTGATAATCTGAATTTGCTGTGACTCCTAGCATTAAAAGGAGGTTCTAAGAGACTGCAGTAGTCCTTGGTCTTACCCTTTAACTCCCAACACACCGGGTGAAAGTCTCATTTCTGATGGAGAGGCAGGAAAACTAAAGCAGCTATTTTAGCCCAGTGATACTTCTCCCAGTTAGCAGCTCAGTGTGTGAAAATCGACAGTCAAATGAATGTTTCTGCTCCAAAACAACGAACAAAAAGAAAACTAGAAGCCCAAAATATCTCACAAAATGTTCCTTTATTTATGCATTGAAAAATAGCCCTGTACTGCCCACCCCCCCAGCATCAGGTATCTGTAGGAAACTTAGCACTTAGTTTGAAGCATTGACCTCCTAGCTGGAAACATCAGCGAGTGGTGAGGAGGCAGGGGATACAGACAGCGTTGATACTGAAATATAGTGATAAGGCAAGAGAAGATTATCCAGGCTGCCTGAACCCGAGTTTGTTAGTTTCAGTCATCCTCCCTTCCTCCCAAATACCACATACTTCTCATCTGACGACTGAAGTAGTAATTTCATACATTGAAAGTGAAGCAATGTTAGAGTAGCTGATTTTTTTGACAGAATTAGTATCCTTGCTGCAGATAAGTTTCAGATAATTAGTTTTCTTCACCACGAGGCTCAGAAGGTGCTTGGTTCTGAAATGCTAGCAGAGTTCATGGCACGGCTGTTCATAAGGCTGTTACTGAAACTTGATTCCTTGAGCCAAAGGTAAATCCTTGCTGTAATTGATTGTACTGGAAGAGAAACAAGTATTTAGAGACCAGACTTGATCTCTGAGACAGATTATACAGTCCGTTTCCTATATATGAGGTTTCTGATTTCTGCCACACATATATAAAAGACTTCTGTAAGCAGTTTGTCAATTTAAAGTTATGCACTGGATTTACTCTGGTTTCAATATAGTAACTACGTACGGGGAAAAGCCACATTCACATTATCTCTTCCATGATAGATCAAAGAGAAAGTAAAGTACCATTCCCTATTTATTCTCTTACTAGGAGAACGTCCATAAAGGAAAATCAAGGTGGGATTTCTCACATTCATAAGCCTTTGCATGGAAACCAAAGTTAGCAGACATAAAGTCTAGGGAGGCCAGCTGAGAGCAGGAAGGGTCAACCACTACAGGCTATCGGGAGATTTATGGATAGATACCCAACATGTATCTAAAAATCACCCACCACTGGCAATGGTGGCCCCCTCACTGTGGTTGCCACTTCATGTTTTCCTGACAGGTTTCAGTAAATTAATTTTTAGCCAAGTTTAAAATCAGGAAAGAGGGGGGAAAAAAGCAGATTTTTTTGTTTGTTTCCTTTTGAAGAACAGTGAGTAAAGAAAGGTCTTTATGTAGACCCTTCAAATAACCTTCTACTAGGAACACAGATGTAAATTCCTGCATGAAGAAAAGGCAATTACACTCATACATGGTTATCTCGCATTTAGCGAAGATAAGCTCCTGTAGTCAAGGACTTATAAATTTTGAACTTTTACAAGTTTATCTGTAATTTAGATTTCTTTGGAATTTAAAAAGTCTGCCTCACCAAGTAGACCGTCTCATATAAAGTTTCCATGAATCACTTCCAGATTCTCTTCCCCCACCAGTGTGCTTTTCACCACCTGTAGGAAAAAGGTTATAAATGAAAACTTGAATTTTTTTTTGAGCATGGGAATCTGGACTAACTCCAGGAAGTGAGCTATTTTATAAAAATTCACAGGAAAAGCTATTCCTTTGCCCTTGTTCCGTATCTGAAATAAATTACCAGAAGACCACCACATACAACTCACACAGCTAGCTCTCTCCTCATGCTTGATCCAAAAAACATCTCTCTGGAGTTGAAAGTCTCATCATGCTGGCACCAGAGGACCTTGTTTTAAAGATATTTTGTTTTAACGTGAGACAAAAGTACAAGAATGTGCTGGTTCTTGTACTGTTTAAATGGTAAGGTGAATATTTCTTCTTCCCTCCCCCACTTCCTTCAGTATACACAAAAAAGAGAAACAAAGGCAAAAATGTATTTAAAGACCTTCTCACAAAAATACTTTATGCTGTAGTTTTTATATACAAAGGCAAACATACAGAACAAAAATGCTCAAGACTGTTTTAATTAAAACTGTTTTAAACAATTTTCCACTCAGCCACATCTCTAACCACATTCAGAACATATTTCTGAGTTACACTCCCTTGATGAGGCGAAAAAAATGATACATGGAATATTTGAAAACTAAATACAGACATTTTTAAAAGCTGAAATCCAACTACTTCTAGTCAATTTCTGTTTTCTGCTAAAGCATTATAATTCAAAAGTCACTTCATTGATTTCTTCAAGATTTGGTTATTTAAATGGACTGATTAAAACCTTGAAAATAAGAGAAGGAGACCTACATTATACTAGTTTTGCAGTGGCAATGTTTTATTCTCTTCCAGAGTCATTAGGGGAAAAAAATTCCCCACCTTTAAAAAAAAATGAAGCCTGAGGAATAATGCCAAGTCTCTAGACCTGATGCTAGAGGATTTAATAATTTGAAGGATAAAGAGAAAACCATAACATACCAAAAGCACCTCCAATCTCAGCCCCACTGGTTGGGATGTTGACATTCACAATGCCGCAGTCAGATCCCTTTGGCCTACAAACAAAGACAACACACAATTGCTCCTCAGGATCAGGAAAGGCTCCTTCCCTAAAATGAGGGCTATAAAATGCTCAACTAGCATTGTGCATAGGTTTACAAAAGACACAAAAGACTGCTATCTTGTGATTCAGGAAGGTAGAAAAATAATTTAAATTTTACCCAAGCCAGCGGAAAATCCTTCCCAAATCCTTGGTAAAGATGCTGCTGGAAAGACCTTGTTTTACCTCATTATTCCAGGCAAAAACCTCCTCTTCCTCCTAAAAGGAGCACGTGTCAATGGTTAAATCATGACCATTCAAAGCAAAGCAGCTACAAAGAAGCACTGTGAGAAAAATCCCACCATACCACAGCCATAATGCAAATATGCTGAGTGCCACTTGGCAAATAGACGCACACTGAGTCAGGAACAGGATACCTCCACCTCTGCACAAAACACACAACCTACTTTTGAGCAGCTTGACATGAACAATAGAAATCTATTCCTGTACAGATTCTCAGCTTAACTCCAGTGCTCTTCACAGAAAACGCATAAACGTAGCTACACAGTGAGGTAAGCTATTACAGAGGATATCCCACAGTGCAGAACAACAGTTACCGCTTCTTGAAGTGCTGGGACAATTACACGAACATGACATACATCTGAAATCTCTCTCCTCTCTCTTCTGTTAGCAACCTTGACACCCAACTAATTCCCCATTGTTATTTTACCTTAAATTTCAGCACATACAGTATGGGGGCAAATGTCTCAGTGTGGACAATTGGTGCATCATGAGGAAGGCCAGTCACAATGGTTGGTTCAACATAATTTCCAGGGCGATTTATAACCTTCAAAACACATAAAAGAAGAAACACCTGAGTAAGTTCAAACCCGCATCATGCTCAGTACTACTGTAGGAAGGGAATCCTTCATGGTCTGATTACCGTAGTCATGTCTAGCAATCAGAAACAGAAGGTCAGGTCATCTGAGTAGATAACTTAAATTTTACTTGCGTAAATATTTAAAATACAGAAACATAACTTAGTCTACTAAGCAGGTTATTAAATCTCAAAGTTTAGCAGCTGACAAAACCCACTTGCTTTCTCCTACTTGTAACATGATTAGTAAGCTGATTAGAACTTTAAAGGTAGTAGGAATAAAGTGCCAGTGAAAGACAAGAATTCCCAGGACATTAAATCTATGAGAATTAAACATCCCTTATGATGAAGACGTGCAAGTGTCTCTCTTGAATCTTCAGTATTTCCTCAAGTTTGATATTGTGAATCCAGGGCCAGAGTACAAATTTTTCTTCGTTACACATTTGATATTAACCATTTACATTGCTGTTTGTACTTTCACCATTACCTGCAGATAGGTAGTGCAAGGAACTGCCAAAAGCTCTTAGCCATTTCTTAGAGGAGAAGGTAGCTTCCAAGTAGACCTGTCTTTGCACTTAAGACATGACTGCAATTGAAACATTCTCAGACTGACTAACTTAACATCCTGTAATGGCTGACAGGACAAAACGAGGTACAATCTTGGCCTAGACCACCACGTTACTGTATTTTTTTTTTCCTAGAGCACTAAAGGTAGCAAGGAGAATAAAAGTAAATCACCTTTCCACCATAGACCACAGAGCCACCCTGTTTTTTCGCTTGTTCTACTGCATCAAGGAACATTTTCACTGCTTCTTTGGTATGAAGAGGTCCATACAGAGTGTCAGCTAAAAACAAAAGATCCAAAGACACACTTTCGGCAAAACTGTGTGTGATTGTAAATATTCTTATCATAACATTTTGCAAGTAATTATTTAATCTGTCCAAGATGAGCAATATTAGCTGGATTCTTCATCTCCCTTTCAGAGTTTGTATTCTAAATGAAACCAGCTATCCCTCTCTACTGCTACAATTAGATAAGTTTGATCCATAATCTCTTCAGAATTCAAACAGAAAGAAACAAACAGAAACTTGTCTCCTAAACCCATAAGTTGGAAATGGCTACTTACAATCCCATGGATCACCGATGCGGACCTGGGCATAGGCCTTAGCAAGCTTTGCCACCACCTCATCATGGATGCTTTCATGGAGGAACTAAACAAAATGTGGTAAGAAGGTTGTAAGACAGCTCAGTCTATGTTACTATTCCTGAAGGACTACTGCACTTTGAAGAGGGCTGAATGAAGTGTGGAGATAGTGTTGCTCGTATTCAGCAAATCCAAAAGTTAAAAATAAACACACGAGCAAGGCCTCAAAATAGCATCAACATCACAAAACGAAGATCTAAAAATCTTCACCATGAAGATTTACAAGAAGTAATGAAACAAAAACCTGTTTTAATTGTACCCCATCTCAGATCAATAGTATCAATATGTTCCGTAAACTCTTCGTTTAAGCGTTTTAGGATACTCAAGTGATTTTTTTATTGCTATAATTTGAGGAATCACTGCCCTATACATCCAAAGTCAATTGGATGTATCAATCCACATCAATTTTGACAAATATTCACCCAATAAACCTAACTCTGAAAAGACTGATGTCAGACACAGGCTGACATTATAAGACCTTATAAACTTGTTGAAAAGGATTGATTAAAAATTAATAAAGAAAGCAACACACATCCCCTTGCTTTGCTGAAATCTAAACCCTGCACCAGCATTTGTAGCAGGCACAAGCAAAGGAGGTCTGGCAATGAAATCAGAAACACAGGAACTATGGTAAGTTTTATTTTACCGAGTTTTAGCACCAGATGCATTTAGAAACACATTCAAAGAAACTCTTTAGAGCTAGAATTATAGTGAAATGACAAACCACCATCTTGTTTTCCCATCATACTGATTTTTTGACAAAGTAAAAACGTGTTTCAAAGATTATTTGTTGCTCTGCATAGTATTTGGAATTGTCAGGCATTTTCTGAGCTAATTTGGAATAAGTTTAAATTCAGAGCTACCCAAACCAGACAATACAGATTTACTCACCAGCCTTCTGGCAGTCGTGCATCTCTGACCTGCTGTTCCCACAGCAGCAAATAGAGCAGATGGGATGACTAGGTTCAGATCTGCATCTTCAAATACTTAACAAAAATTAAAATACCAGCATGTTACTGAAGTAAACAGGCAGTTCGCAAGACTTAAGACACTAAACAATACAATAAACTGACAGGTTGCTCAAGAAGCATTAGGAATAGTTGCACTAGCAAACACACTATGATAGACAGAAACACCTCAAAACTTCTATTACTTTTACACCTGGAATTAGAAACATGCAATTGGACACAAATGTAGGTCTGAACAACTGAAGAGAGTCTTTTGCAACAAAGCTTGCAAAGAACCTCAGCTTTATTTTAATTCAGGAAACTACAAGCAGTTTCTAGCAGTTTCATCACTTTGTCCTTCTCTCAGTGGGAAGATGTCTAGCAGCACAGAGAAACAATGGTAAAATGCATCCAGATGGCACGCAAAAAAAATAGCTAACACACACAGGTACTCAATAATGTAAATTGCAAATGAGCTGAACAAATTCATCTGGCTAGAAGACATTGGGATGTTTAAAGCGAAGCTAGTATGTATCAGCCTCAAAGGATCCCCAAAATATCACTCAGCTTAACCACTCCCACAGAATTCTCTGAGTATCCAAAACTATTATTTCATTTGGGACAAAGTTTAACCAAACAATGTTTATGCTATCATCCAAAGCCAATTCAAGAAAAAGCAGGACTTTCATATGAAAAAGGAAACAATTTTCTAAATATAAAGCAAGTTTATGCTACTGGCTGCAAATCAGCACAGGGTAAAAAAAGAATGACCTGCTCAAATATGATTTTCAAAAGAGCTTAATATTCTAGATAGGTAATTACATTTGTTCATAATATGAGAAAGGTGAAACAGAAGGCTACAACACAATGGGACAGCAATTTGGGTATTTACCTAGCTTGTATTTTCTTTCTGCCACATTGCTCAGCTTCATAGTGTTTATGTTATATCTCTCTGGGAACTAGATGATACCCTAAGCTACTTAAACCTGTAAAACCTGCTAATGAAATAAATATCAGCATGCTTTGCTTTCAAGTATCATAAATGTCTTGGACTTTATATATATGTACTTGTATTCTAAAATGCTAAAAATGTGGTGTTCACAAAATCAGAACTATGCTAAAATTAAATTCATTTAGCATTGTCCACATCCATTACTGAAGCTTACTGCTTCTCTCATTCCCTTAATCACTTTAACGCTGAATACAAATAAGATCTTAAACTTCAATTTTTTATCTTAAAACACTACTCCTCCACAATAGTGAAGACAGAAAAACCCCAACATTCTACTACATACTTTTTAAGAACCCAATGTGGAAAAAAAAAAGAAAAAAACCCAGACAATTCGCTACAAACATTTGTATACTAACTTCCAAATATCATCTATAGGACTAAATTTCTACAGTGCATATTACCAATAATGGCATTGTTTCCTCCCAGTTCCAGCAGACTTCGACCTAATAAAAACACACAAAACAAGTTACGTTATGCGCACATGCACCTCATTCAGTGCATTCACCTCTAACTAAAGCTAAGTTTCATTAAACATATTTTACTGGATAGACAAAAAGTTTTAGGCATCACAGTCAACTAATTACTCCAGTCAAAGCAGAAAATTACACCAAATACTACATCTATCACATATTGTGAAGAAAGATAGCTGAAGAGCAGTTATGGCAGAAAGAAGATTAAGAAAAGTGCAAAACTAGCACTGGAAAGGAAGAGATGAAAGGAGAAAAAGTTGCAGCATAAGTAGTATGATGCAGACAAAGAAGAGGAGGAGGTGCTACAGAGATCAAAATGAATACATTAATTTAACCAGGCTTGTTTATTTCTCTGGCAACTGTTTCACCTCGGATCTGAGAGAAAAAAAAAAAAATCACCATCCACTTCTGGGTGAACATTTGCAATCTGTTCTGATATTATTTTTTTTTAACACTCCTATGAATTTCAAATGTATAAAATGAGAAAATCCTGTTCACAAGGTTTTCTGTTTAAAGAGTTAGAATCCAGCAGCTGTGCATGTATTCATGCCTGTACACTTTTCAATATTTGCAACAAAAACATAACTTGTTTCCTGTATTTATAAAGAGTAAAATGCAAGGGGGCATTTCTCCATGAACATATTGCCGAAAGACCATAGGCCATGGCTGTTCATCTCAACAATCTCCATACAATTATGTTCATGCGCCACCCTCCCTCTGCCCTGAATTAACTGTAGGAACATGGATTTGTGGATACCCTCGAAAAAAAATGATGAGTTGTGGCAGAACTAACTGAAAAATGCAGTATCTAGCTCTGAGCAGTTTCAACATCCTATTTCCACCAAGTGTTTTTTTGTTTGGAAAAAAAAAAGTTACATGAGGTAAGGGAAACAAGCTGTTATTTTAAAATCCTATGGAACTCCCCTGCCTTTCCCAACCATGGAAAGATATGAAGTGGAGAAGACCCTACACACTCACCAAATCTCTCCTGAACCATAAGCGCTACCTGCTTGCCCACTTTCGTGCTGCCAGTGAAGGACAACAGGTCCATTCTCTCATCTCTTGCCATTGCTGTCCTGCACAAGGGGAGACATACCACCATGTTCAGTGGAAGAGCAGACAGCTGGAAAAGCTGCTTGCACCCTCCACATAAACCAACTTCAACCAGGGAGATCTTTTAAAGTCAAAGCCACTTCTTCAAAAACACCAGGTAAGTCACTGAGGAGATGGTAGGAAAACTCCTCCTTAGCCAGAAAAGAGGAACAAGGGTGCTCTCCTTCCCCTTTTCATGCCATAAAAGCATCACCTGTACTAATTTTGAAATTCAATCTAAAGTATGTAGTGAGATCAGCTGCAGTTGTTATGTTCCCTAAGAAAATATGCATACCTATGACTTTTTTTAACGCTTAACATCTGTTTTGTCTTCTCTTGAAATGCTCAAAGGATACATCTGAATATACATTCATACTGAGAATTTCCTCGTTGTAACAATCAAAACAAAACAATTTAATTTGCACAGCTTCCAAGCACAGGCGTGCATCTATGGGCAAGTGCAGAGCCCTATGTAAGCATGGAAAATGGGGAAGTATTATCCTCCACAAGTGGTCCAAAAGGCCAATGGGCTAGAAATTGAAAACTCTTAACAATTTTAGAAGAAGTACCTTAAAAATTATTCTTTATCCTCTATACATCTTCCCAAAACACAAGAAACGTTACCTACCCAATGTCTGCTCCACCACAAACCAGAGAACAGATTGCTCCAGGCACTTTGTTATCCTCCAAGACTTTGGCAATTATCCTAGAATCAAAGATATAAAAATTTCAGAGATTTCTTACATTTGCATGTAATAGGCAATGAACCATTAAAACTGTCTGACCACGCACATGAAGAAGCCACAGATTTTTAAAAAGCAGCAATCTTGCAGTGAATTGACTTGCAATTTGTACAATACCTAACACACTTCTCTCATCAAGGATTTTGGTGTTACAATCATAGCTCACACAGAAGTAAGACTTGGCTTTAAAATATATTAATTATGCATCCACACAAGTGGCCCAGACATGCATTAGATCAGTGTGTAAAAACCTTGGCCATACAGTCTTTCACCATTAGAAACAGACATTTATATAATTTCATAGAGTTACAAAAAATACTCCTAAATAGTTTGGTGCCATTGTTCTCGGGAGTTAAAATTAAAATAACTAATTAGTAAGTCTTGTAGCTTTAAAGAGGCCTATTTATATTCAGCAGTTAAAAATAAATGTTATTTGTAGCATACAATAGATAAGTATTTAAAATGCTAATATAGTAAGCAAAGTAACAGTAAACCCAGAGTAAGTATTGCTGTGACATTTATTCTTTGGACTTCTCCTTTTTATCAAGAATGAGTTTTCAAACCTGGAAACACATGCTAAGGTGTTAGTAGGTTTGGATAATAAAGACTGTGTGAAGGCATCTTCAGGATACAGGTCTACACAGCCAGCCAGAAGAATTTGTCAAGAAACTGGGTGCTGATGTTGGCCTGAGACTCCCAAAAAAAGGGATGATTCTGAAACATGAATTTGTGATTGAGGGAAGCTGAATTTTGTGAGCAATTCATCTTTTACAAGGAAGCAAACCACATAGCTAGCCCCACTTCAGCAGAAGCACAGCGCTGGTCCCAGAAAAAAATGGCCAACAGTATAGGTAACATCCTATATATCCCATTATTTCTTAGGTAACAAGGGGAAAGCAGTTCTTCTGACCACTAAGCATTACCTCAAATAGAAAATACGTTGTTTCAAAAGCCAAACAGAAAGCAAAGAAACCAGAACTCACTTTGTAACAGCAACACTAATGAGGGATGTTGTAGGAGCACCCTTCCTAAAAAAGAAAAAAAAAAATCTTCCTTAAAAAGAAGAATGACATTATTTTCTTTTCAGTTCTTTAAGAATAAGAAATAATGGACATATGCAAACTTTACGGTATCTAAAACACAGCACACTTTGGTTAGGCTGGTTTTTAGATGCATGTTAAGACAGGAACTTAAGTGTTTCTTTTCACAGCTAAGCATTCAGAGCTTCAACTGAAATCTACACGAACAAGAGCTATGCCAGACGTTAGAGTGAAGCAGGTAGTTGAAAGAAAGGCAGGAGCAGCGAAAGGAAGTAAAGCTACTTATTTTCATTCTTATTTTGAGCTGTACCAATTCTGAAAACTTTAACTGTTTGGTAGAACTGCTGCAAGACCTCAACCTGGGTTCTTTACTAACAGGCCATTTGGCTAAGTCCTAGACAGGTCTGAAGCTCAGTATCTCATAAAAGAGGTTATCACAAAATAGAAAAAAGGTCTTTTACTACAAGCGAACCTAAAAATAAATAGAAATAAAGCTTATGTGAGACAGAATCAAATATGCAGAAACACCAGACATTTGATAACAATTTCACGCCTGACACAACAGCTCTCTAATTTTAAAATACCATTAGCACATTGGAGAGCTATATCTTACCAGAGGCAAGCGTTGCCACAGATCATTGCAATTGCGCTGTTCCACCCATAAACTGCTACGGGGAAGTTAAAGGCCGTGATGATTCCTACTAACCCAACGGGATTCCATTGCTCTATAAGGGCATGGCCGGGTCCTGAAGGCAAAGACACAACGTAACACAATTTGCATCCATGTAATGTTTTTTTAAAAAGGAGAAAGTGAGCAAGGGGTCTAGCATCACTCCTCTGCCCATCAGAACACTAGCTTGTGTAGAGCTGTATTATATGTGCTCTGTGCAGCTTACTGGAATAAGGTTAGCTAGATTGTGGAAAAACCTAATAAAACAACAAAACAAAGTTTTACTATTTAAACTATTCAGTTAACAGAATGGTGTAATCAGTTTTCTAACTGATAACTGACAAAGAGGTCTCTCATTTCTAAGTACACTGCTGAACTTTTTACATACTTTCCCCTAGCACCTTCATTAACAAAGAAATCAAAGAGAATCTAACGCTTCAAAGAAGGGGAGAGAACATCTATTGCCTCTCCTGCTGTATGCCACAGGCTAGATACTTCATTAGGTGGCGCTACTGCCCACCAGCACATCTATTCCTAGACAACATGTTCCCTAAATAACTCACAGTACGGAGATTTTGCTGCACTACATCAGCACATATTTAAGATAGATCTCCATCTCTTCATTTGTACAAAACAAAACCAACCAAAAACCAAAATACACACATACTTACTTTCTGAAGGCAAAATAGGTCCACCAATCATTCGGGACAAACCAACAGCATAGTCACAGACATCAACATACTCCTGCACTTCCCCAACACCCTCAACAAAAATCTTTCCCATTTCCAAAGAGACCTGAAAAAATTAAGAGCAAGACAAATTTACTTTTTTTAAAATTCCCTTGAGTGCCCAATACATTTTGTCTCCCAGTAATGTCAAGTATATCTGCACACCAAGTAAGATTTAATTCACTTTTTTTTATTAGAAGAGATTCACCTCTTCCCAAGTTATTCACAGCTTAAAGAAAGAACACAATAGACAACTAAACAGGAGTCATATTGCCATAAAATAGGAGGAAATTAGAAGAAGAAATTAATGAACAGAGGAAATTAAAAATAACCTACTGAAAGGAATATCCAACAGTAATGAGGTTTATAAGTTTAGATCAATGAAACACTAAATTTCCATCAGGATGTTTGCATCCATTGTGGACCAAGCATAGAATAAATTGGAAAAGAGGGATTACTCTGCTTGAGCAAAAGAAAACAGTCATTTACATTTTTCATAAGCAAACTACTCATTTTATGACATCTCAAAGTGTTCGAGAGATTCCATTTTCAGACATTGCTGTGTGAGACACTGACATCTTTGGTATTTTAGTAACCTGGGATGTTTAGGATCTTTTTTTAAAATTTTTTTCCAGAGGAATTCAATCCTAAACTATGTCCTTCTGTTAAAAGTACATTAGAAGTACACAACAGACATACAGAGTATGAATAAGAATAAGCTTGTATTTGAAGATAATTTCCTTCAAAAGTGAAAAAAAATCACTAGCTTAGGAACTGAGAAGTCACCCACTTACCCACACTTCATTTTACAGTCATGCTTTTACATCTAGGTGTGACTTTCATGCAGATATCACCTACCACTTTAGCTTGAAAAAGCTGTTAAGTGAGGAATCAGGTTCAAAGGACTGACAAAAGATTTTATTCCACACACAAAGGTTAAAATAAAGGTGACTAAATTTATTTCTAGGTATTTCTGTGATGCCTGTGGTCATCTCGAGACAGAAGGAACAGCCCCTATTTGTGACAAGAAATGGAGGGGCATCAGACACATTCACTATAAGAAACATAGCAGTGAGTCTGTAAGTACTGTCAAGATACAACTGGATACTTGAAAAGGACATTGTGAGGCAATGCTGGAAATCTCCAAAGCGTATGAAAAGATGAGTTGCCATACCATTCCCTTTTACATAGCCTAAAGCCAGGAAAAGTCCTAAAACCTGGATACCCACTGCACAGCTTTCACCCTGAAGTCCACCATGTATCCTGACAGAGCTGAACAGACTTACTACCTGTTTAGGAAAATTAGAAAAATGGTCTGGCAATAAGCAACAGGTTTTGTCCAATGAACATACAGCAAGCTTCCGTCTGTTCACACTCACCAGGGAAGCTGTACCATTTTTGAATACAAAAGTATGTTAGCACTCTAATACCACCACAGAAACTCTGCTAAGGAGACAACATCAAGGGAAACAGCAGAACAGTTTGTAGGTTAACAATATGGGCTTGACTACACGTGGAGTTATTCACTGACAGTTGTTTCTGAATAGCAGCATATATAGGCAAGCCCTGAAAAAGGAAAGTGGCAAGTTCCCTGCTTATCTGCTTTTCTTCCCTGGGAACTAGCAGGTGTTTTAAAGGAGTGGTCCTTCAACCTTTATGTCCTGCACAGCACTGCAAGAAGATCTCATTAAGGCCATCACACCTTCTGAAGCCTTATACCTCCACGTGTCAGTTTGCAAAATCCTGTGGATCACCAGAACGAGCTCAAGGTTAAAAGCTCTGTATTAGAGGAAGGTCTTTTTCAGGACACCTTTAGTATCAGATAGTGCCCTATCTGACAGGCAAGTGGGAAAACAGCAGGGCAACAGATGTAACACTCCTTCCGGCCAGAGAACAGGCTCAGAATGAATTACACTTTCTTTTCTTGTTGTATATTACCATTTTCAGCGTAAGATGCCAGAATGCAATCTTACTTTATTTTTTTCTTTTCCTTTTTTGAAATTAAAATTTCTTTAAGCAAGCTAACAGAACTAACAGCATTTTAACAATTATTAAGATTAGTATTGCAGAGTGGTACGTTAAAAACTGAGAAAAAGAGCTTTCACACACACCCCCTCACCCAGCCCACCCTACCTCTGCGAAGATAAGCTGCTTCTTAAAACACCTTACCAAGCTTCCTAGAACTTTGATTTTTTGTCTCAGGGCATCACCGATCTGTCGTACTATTTCTCCACGCTTAGGTGCAGGGATCTAGTCATAAAGAAAGAAAACAGAAATTTATTTGAGATTGAACATTTGTGACTTCCAATGCATATATACTGCTAGTTTTCTACCCCTGCAGTATGAAATCGGTGATTGCTGTGCTTTTTCCCCTGTCTTCCCAAGACTCATTCATTTTTATCATGCACACTGCTTACAAGAAACTGTTTCCTGCCTCACATGGACTGATAACACTGCACACGTTTATGTCTGTTCGAACCTTCAGTTCCACTAAATATTGCCAGAAACATTCAGATTATTAGTTCTGCTACTTCTGTTCAGCTATCACCACCCACAGTGCCCCCAAACAATCAGCTGCACCTCAAGAAACAAGCATTTTTTACAAACCCACACTTACTGGTTTCTGAGCTTTTGAAGTGTACTTAACATCACATTTTCAAACTTTTTGTTTCAGTACGACAATGGCTGCTGGCATTTATTTTGTTAGCAGATGCTGAGACGCACAGAAACCTCAGTCATGGAAAAATTAAACCCATATACCAAATATATTTTTTTTTTTCATGTGGTATCATTATGTTAGGTAATAGCCAATACCCAGGATCAACAATAAACCACATGCATACAACAGGATTCGCAGAATTAGAACCTGCTGATGAACAGGCAGTTGGAAAGATAGAAGTGGCAAATACGCAAACCATGCAAGCATATCTCTTTACAGGCAAAATGTTTCAGATAGGCTCACTAAAAATCCCCAAATTCACAAACTAAAACCAAATGGCTTCGAGACGAGGCTTTAAAGCTTTCAATCTGTTGATTCTTTGTTTTCTGTCAGGCTGCTTTTGCATTATTTCCATACGTATTGGGAGCTGGCATGCACTCTCCAACATTACAACCACAAATTGCAGGAAAGAACACATACTAACATATCCAGAGGAAGCTGAGGAAGCTGTTGTGTTTGCCCTAAGCTTTGTGTTCTTCAGGCAAGGCTGGATAAACTACAGCATTCCCAACACCTTACAAAATTCAGGCTTCAGCTTGTATCAAAGAAGCGGCAAGTAGCTATAAAAAACAAGCCTGGCATGGCCAGCAAGAGAATGGATGTGGGCTGGACATAGCTTGTACAGGGACACTGAGAACTACAGCTTGCTAAGGAAAAATAGGTTAGTTATTGTCTGACACAGCAATGCAACACTGAAGTTTGGGAATAACATAGCTCTTCTGTGAAATAGCAGGACACCTGTTGAACAAAAAAAAAGCACACTCAAAAACAGCACTCTTCCTCACCCCATGAGAACAAGATTACCACCACAAGTTAGGTGTCCAAATATTCTGCAGAGTTCCCGCGGCAGAAAGCATGCAGCAACACCAAGTTAAACACACCCACAGGGCTAATTTGCTTGCTACAAGGTTTCTGAACTTCAGCAGCCCTGTTGGCAACAGCTTACAGGCACAAACCTGGGTAAATTTGCCAGGCTTTTCAAAACAAACATTTTCCACAAGTCAATGTCCTCATCTTTGTACCTCAATGGTAACATGTGCAAGTTGTCTGGGTTTGTTTCTTGAGGTCCTCATTGCAGATTTTTGCTTTAATGTAATATACACAATATGAACCTGTTTTTACACCCTCACCTGATCGGGCAATTTAATAGCATTTACCTGCTAGAGATATGTTATAAAAGATAAGTCTCTGTTAACTTACATCAGCCCAGACCTTCCATGCCTCTTTAGCCTTCTTTACTGTTTCTTCATAATCCTCCAAACTAGCCTATGTGAGGAAGTATGTCAAAGAAAAAGTTAGGAAAATCAAAACCCCAAAACAAGCAGCACAGAAGCTTCTGCATCCAACTCAAGACATTTCTAGTGGATAATACTGTGCTACAGAATACCACTTTTACAGGAAGTTTATATCCTGCCATAGTTTGGTCCCTCTATGGCATGTTGAGCTGCTTGAAGTTTCTACAGAGGAAAAGCGTATGTGCTGGCTATACAAAAAAACGTGTGTGCAGAGATTTTCCTTCAGATGACAAAGGATGATCCATAAAGAATAGCTGTAGGGGACGCATTCATCATATATTTATGTATCTTCTTTTATCTTCAATACTACTACAATACTAAACAAAGGCAGTGAGGACTGCCTCACTCCACCAGCCTCACTGGACATCAAGGGCTAATCGAACCCTGAAATACAAACGGAGCAGGTTAGCGCCATAGCGCTATCCTCACACCAAAGACTCCCACAAATTTTACCACGTGAATGCCACGTTGCTCTCCTTCACACCCCCCCCCCTC